GCTAGGCAGACCTACCACCAGCAAGAAAGTACCACCGATAGACACTCGACAACAGGTTCTAACTACTTTGAAAAATCCGTTTCAGACCGGGATCAGGTAAACAGGCAAAATATCGGATAGGTAATCATATCACATGATCAGACGAAATATTTGTGATCAGTATGGACACAAGGAAGATGAGTAGAACCAGAGAGAGGTTCCTGTTGTCGATGTGATCTATCTCTGGGTCACAACTTTATCGCATGGGATATTCTCACACGTCAAAAGTGAAATAGTCACACCATTGCTTAACATGCAGAAAGTCGAATCATACTAAGACAATTAACTTGCTATTTGACACTTTAAAACAAAATTCTAAGGCTAGAATAAGACAAGTTTGAATACGTAAAAGTGATCTTAGGAGTTATACTGTTAATGTTGTTTATAAATCTATGAACCTAACTCCTAGTACTTTCTTAGTGGTTATTCTAGACAAATCACTGGTAATCATTCTATGTTAACTAATGTTAAAAGTCCTACAAGAGGAATGATTACTTTCAGGGACATGGTAGATGTTCAATGACTATGGTATTAATCAAGACTCTCTTACCATGTTCTGCGATAACGCTAACACCCGATTATTGCAATTGCTGAGGGTATCCTTTTTTAGCTTCTAGGGTCAATTTCTTAGTTCAAGATCTATCTTACTAAACTGAAATCAAAGAACTACTAGATCTGTTCCTACTAAACTAGGAATGGCCTAGGGTCCTGTTCAACATTTTAGGACTAAGAACATTGATATTCCACATCATTCATCAGAGATTTAGTCGAAAGAAATATTATTGTCCTAGAGTACATTCACATTGAAGGACAACGACTGATTTATTTACCAAGGCTTTAGCTACTGTCATATTTGAAACTTTGTGAAAAGTCGTTGGTATATGCATAAAACATTAAAAGCTAGCTCGATGTACGTAAGTTTTCCAATTTTGTGTGTTCATTTTTGTTTGCATGTGTTTTGCATTTATTGGAAAAATAAAAAAAAATGAAAAAGAGAAAGAAAAAAAGAAAAATTAGGGCTTTTTTTTTTTTCTAAATGTCATAAGATGTGAATTTCTGATTGGTTTGTAGTTATTGAGATAAAATTAAAATTTTCAATCGGTTTGGTATGCTCACTTTAATTTATGATAAATTATTGTTAGAAAAGCACAGCATTAGGACATTGTAGCAACTTTGTTGTGACAATTTACTGACTACGTAGGCATCCATAGGTGATATGTGTTTAAGTGTAGACCAATGATCAGTATTTATGTCTAACTGCATTTCAATATGATGTTGTGTAAATAAACAAATTCATTGGAGGAGAGGGCTATCGCCGTAGACGTGTGAAGCCGTCCTTGATAATGAACATAGATCATGAGAAAAAAGCTACATCTATAACTGTGTGAAAGTCAACTCCATGAATTGAACAGACTTAATAAAAATGAATATAGAAAAATTCATCACATGAGCATGCAAAACAAATAAATTTTTTTTAAATGCTCTAGTCTAGCACGCACATATTTTTATTTAAAGAGAAAATATTAGATGATGACTGGTTTGAAACACACTTTAGCATGTAATCATTGAAAATGTTAAATCTGGTTAGGACATGATGTTTCAATCTGTGAAATTAATTGTGAGAAAATATATAAATAAACATTTCATGCCTATCTTGAGAATTTAAAGTTGATTATCCAAAAAATTGTGATTGTAACAATTTTCAGTAAATCTAAAGATTTTTGTGTGATTGAACGTGTGGGCTTTTTGTAGACATTTATTCAACAGTTTGAACTCGACAGTTCGTTGTAACAGGAAAAAAATGAGCAAAAATGTTTAGAAACAAAATCTAAGTCGAATATGAAGGGCAGTTCAGTCTTATTTGGTGATGAAAATTGAGAATGTGCTCGTTACATTTAATCTACAAAAATAGTTTCAAGCTATTTTTCGTAAATTATAGCTGGCAGGTGTACATAAGGGGGAGTTTGATTATCTGTCGAACTAGCTAGTTCCACTCTTGTAGCACCAAAGGTATAATGTTCTGATCTCCTATCAAATTAGGCTAAAGCAATTGCTACTGCTGTTGTTGTTGTTGCCATTTCTCCTATTGAAGAGAGAGACGAGTCCGACCTAATAGAGGAAGTCAAGAAGGATATGAGACCCCAACTCTAGACAGCCAGTCGTGATCAACTTTCTACGTGCTAAGAAGTTCACTAATTGGCTAGTTCTATGTGATATATGTTTTATATTTTACTTATTAATTATTTATTAGCTTGCTTAAATTAAAATAATTTTTAAATATCAAAACATGTGTAAAAAACGTGTTCAACAAGAGAGTCCAAACAGATAAGTCAGGCGGTCAGGATTGACTGGGTGTTATAGGTTAACAAATTCTTGGCTGCGATTTTTAGGGTTTCAAACACTAAACGAGGTGCAATCTTTACCTACCTTGTAGCAGCATATACAGGAGTATATACTTACCATCTTGGACAGGTTTGATTGGTGGTCAAATAATTAAAAGAAGGAAAGACTATTTTAAGTAATAAAAACTTTCTTCAATTTAATTATTGACCATAGCAAACATATTCTATATACATACAGAAATATATATTTACCTTATTAGATTGGTTTGATTAATAGAATAATTAAAAGAGTGAAAGATTGTTTTAAATAATAAAAACTTATATTAATTTAATTATTGATCATAGCAAACATATTCTATATTATTCTTACTGTGCAAAAACTTCTATATTTTAGATAAAACATGTTTGTGTCTTAGAGGAGTCTCTACAACCGTAATTGAATAGAATACACATGAGCGTGAATGATATAATCCTACTCAAAGATCAAACTACTTGTGTAACATCCCAAATTTTCATAACACCAGAGCGTTACCAAAAGTTCATTTTTCTTTAATTTGGCATAGCAAAAGATCAAAATACAATTCTTTAATAAATAATGACTGCGGCATTCATAAATATAAACTAAACATAGCAATCGTATCTGAAAAATAACAGTAAATATGTCTTAAAATAAATCAACAAATAATTACGAAGGTAGAAAAACATAATGAAAAATTTATTCTCTATTCCTATGATCATCTTGGCAGTCCGCATCACTAGTTCGCCACAGTTCTAATTGACCCGAATTAAATTGTAAAAATTTATAAAAGTGAGTATTTAAAAAAACCAGTAAGATATGTGCAGTTTCCATATACAAATATATAATAATAAAAATTATACACTTCATACCACTCTAATCTTATGAAGTATGTCGATAATCAAGCGACACACCCATCTTAGGTCCTCTTATAATCCCGAAGGATTTCACGTCTCTTTAAAAAAAACGAATGTCCACTGGCAGTCTATGCATATTTAATTACATATAAAGTATAAGGAAACGAAAACACTTGCACATAAAGTATCTTACCTCGTTGATTTGAAAAGTTGTAATGGACCAAAAAAATGCACGTGAAAACCTCTTTTTTATGCTTCATTCTCTACTATTTATATTCTTTAGGTAAAAGCTTTCTGAAATTTCTGTGGGTATATGCTTAGAATATGTGATTCTTATATAGGGGTGACTAGAGTAAAAGATAAGTCTTATCTCAACCAAAAGATTTATTTGATTTGTACTATCATTTTGTCTTTATCTCAAACAGTTCACGTGTGATAGAGAGTTGGTTTATGTATTGAAGTATGTGACCATGATTTGACTTAATCCTAATTGGTGTGTTATTCCATGCATGCACACATGTCTATATAGGTAGGTAGGACTCAAATGAATTTCTCAATATCTACCATTTTAGCAAAAGTATTGTTTTATCATCAAAATCGAGGACTGCTGGAAGACTTTGGTTTGCTTTAGAATTTGTTTTCTAAAATAATCAAACAATGCACACACTACACGTAATCGGCTAACTAATGGTATTTGTTGGGTAAATAAGATAGTTATTTACTAAGGATTATTATTAACAATTAACATTTATCCTAATCAAGTTAGGATTTTTTTGTACGCGTGAAATCATGGTTATCTAAAATCATAAACCAACTTCAATTATTCATCAAATAAAAATAACATCCTTGAACTTAATATCTTGGGCCTCACTTATCCGAAATAACTTTTTCTCGAGTCAAAGACTTCTAATTAATTACGACTTATAAAATGAGTCTAATATTGATATATTAAATATCGCTCTATCAATATCTAATTATTTGGAGCAAATAAAATAGAAATTTAAAATATTTTTTATTTTAGTCCTCAACTTTAAAAAATGTAAATATATAAAATATAAAATAAATAAATTTTATTCTAAAATTTTCTGGTTGTTACAACTTGGCATGAGTTAAGATTCGTAAATCTTAATCGAACCAATGGTTGTGACCAAAGGCAATAGTGCAGTGGCGATAAAGTAAAGACCGAAGGGTTTGATTTCATTTCTCCAACAAGTCAAAAGAAATAAGAAAACAATGGAGTTGTTCTTTGTTTGCTTTTGATTATTTTAGTTAATTTTATAAAATTACTAAATGAAACTATTGTATTTTTCATTCTTTGATATTTGATTATTTTACCAATGACATGGGGCCGTTGATGTTTCTCTTAGGGGTTACGGCATTATTTTTGGTGTTCATCTTTATTTAATTTCGCAATAGATTATATTTTGTAGACCACAAATCTATTAGATTGTCCCAGTCAGAATTGAGCGTAAAACTACTTGTGAAAATTCTAATTGAAATGAATAATTGGGACATTGTTTAATTAACTAGATTTTAGAAAAGATTTCATAAAATTTGACCAAAAAAAAATGATCAATTTGACTTATGTTTTCGGCTGAATAATAATTTGCTTTATGAATTTCTTTATATAAGATACAATAATAAGCTCAAAAAATTCAGTAAAGAAGGATCAAATGAACATCTATGTCATTTGACGGAATTCATAAATTCTCAAAAACAAGAATCAACAAAAACACACGGAAAACATAGAGCATAAAAACATAATATTATTTGTGATAATGCATTAAATTAAACACAGGAAAGTGACACCAAACACATAACAAAGTAAGCTTAAACAAAGTGATTAGCTACCACAATGGAGCTTAACTTATTCTACCACACTAGAACATAAATAATTATAGAAATATTGTTTAAGGGTCTGATCTTTAGGGGCACTTCATGGTGGAAAGGTAATACCTGCAAGAATAAACATAGGTTGTAAGTTATCTGACATTTAGAAGTTAAATTTAGCAATAATCTTAGCCATTAACAAGTCATCATGATTAAAAACGAAGAGAGTGAGAAGCCTACTTCCACACTTGTAGTTGTGAGGAACAGATCTCCCACAGCCTTCAATCAGTTTCACAAAACGTGATATTCCAATGGTTCTAATTGTTGCTGCCACTTTAGGGCTGACATAAGGGCAAACACATTCGATATGAGCATCCCTTACGTTTTGACAACATGCAGCTGATGGATTACTCCCAAAAATAATTGGCCTGCAATTATAAAGCAGAGTATTCTTTTCGTCCTTACATTCACTCGGAGTTATGCCGTGTGCCATTGGAACCATAGTAACCAAAATTAGCATCCCAACCCATTTCCCCAACATTTTCACACTGAATTCTTTGTTTCCTTTTCTATTTTTGTTGCATGTAAAATGAAACTATGATCCTTTATATAGAGTAGAGGAGAGCACAGTTGGAGTTGCCGTGTTGAATGTTCCACCGCGAAATATACTTTTTTTTTTTTTTTTTGCCTTATTTATATACCATCTCTTGCAAAGGTGGACCCAGCTGTTTTGAGTTGTGGGGTCAAAAATTAGAGTTGTGCTACAGTGTTCACATGAATGACCGCGAGATTGACACAACACATACACATGGGGTCGGAATTATTTTATTCATGGGGACTCGCTGGGCATGTGAGGGCGTGGTTACTTGCGAGGCCATCATCGCGGGTTGTGCTTAACTTCAAAAATTAATGTGTAATTTTTTAAAACAATATAATATTTATAAAAATAATTTAATACGTATTTTGACATCTTGAAAGTGTCTTATAATTCTATCATTATGAATATTGTTAAATGAATTTTGCAACATGTACAATTTTGTTTACCATGTCATTTATGGATGTTGAGCTAACGACGAGTAAACCAAATTGGATATAGGAAGTAAATGAAATTTAAGTTTGACGAAAAAATAATTTGATAGTAATTCAAATTACATTTAATCCGTAACGATTTTAGAATTTTTGACATCATTTTTAATGTAAAATTTCCCAATAAAATGACGTAAATTATATTGAAAAATTTATCGTGAAAAAATAATAAACATTAATGAAATAATTGATTTTTTTTTTAAAAGACAAGTTAAATGTCTCTTTAATATGTACGTTTGACGCATATTTAACTATTTTTTATATCTATTTGGACCATTCGACATGTCTACGATGTAGTTTTGAAACAAACTTCTAGATAATGCAAGCGACTTGTAGATTTGGATAGTATACGATTATCAGCAAATTTTAAAAATCAACATATTAACGAAATTTTTGAAATACTAATTTGGATCGACCTACTTTGATACATCGTAATGACCCCACATGACCCCATGTGGGTCCGCCCTTGATCTTTTGTAGTCATTTTTTAAAATAATTATATTATTTTTAGCTCGTTTGAGTTGATTCAATTTTAATTTGACCGGAGGAAAAAAATTGTTTTTCAAGTTATTCTTTTAGTTAACTGCAAATCACATTTAATATCTTCTATGTTCTATTTGTCAAATTTTATCTTTACACGATTATTCTTCAAATATTATTTTAACGTGGGACACGTATTTTGTTGAACTTATGTATTTATTGTTTATCTTGCTTATTTAAAAATACGTATGACAAATAATTTTTTACTCCTTCCTAACGAAATTTTTGGCTGTCATCAGAAACAACATGTGTTATTTAAAATGAAGTTAAAATTAAAATACTAAAAAAAAGAAGTTAGGAACATAAATGTAAATAAACAAAATTAATAACCCCAATTATAATTTTGGCGTGTTGTAGCTAACAAAAATTGAAATGTGAATATATTTACGCAGAAATTTATTGATTTATTATTATTATTATTATTATTATTATTATTATTATTATTATTATTATTATTATTATTATTATTATTATTATTATTATTATTAT